CAAACAATTGAAAAACCGAAAAATTGAGAATTCGAAAAATAAAAAAATCAAACTGAAAATTCGAAAATCGAAAAATCAAGAAATTTAAAATCGCGCAGTCGAAAAATCGAAAAATGGAGAATCAAAACAAGTGTATAAGTAATTCTAAAAGCTATGACAAACGACAAGTATTGAGTCATAATATTTTGCATATTTCAGTACTTATCAAGATAAGACTGATTTTGCCACCCTCTAAGAAAATAACGGGTAGGTATATCATTTGGCAAAATTAGTCTTATCTTGACCCGCCCATTATCTTATCAAAGAGTCATATGCCAAAATCAGTCTTATTTTGGCAAGCACTAGCCCGCCCACTCGCCCTTAATTTTCTTAAGGGATGTTATTTGGCACTATCAGTCTTATCTTGGTAAGTACTTGCTAAGATAAGACTATTTTGGTAAGTGACGCACTTTTTAAGACACTAGAGGGTGGGTGGGCGGAGCTAGTATTGCATAAAATAAAACTGATTTTGACATTTTCGACCATTTTTCACGCATTTTCGAAAATTAGTTAAAACCATTGACTTGTAGATATCGACATCCAGAAGTCGTTTTGGCAAATGACGTACACTTTAACAAAATGGAGGGTGAGTGGGCGGGGCTAGAGCTTACTAAGATAAGACGGATTTTGGTAAATTAGCTACCCTCGTGAGAAAATTATAATAAAATTATATATATAATATTTTTATTAAACATTTGCGTGTGTCATGTCAGCGATTAGGGGTCGTCATAATAGGAATTTTTATCTATTTAAGCAAAATTTTAAGATGACGTCATCATTTTTTTTTTTTGGATTTTTGGATAAACGAATACATTTTGATTCACGATTTTTACCATGATTACGATAATCATATGCAAGATTTCAGAGCTTTCGGATCTGCAGTTTCAAAATTAAATTGTAGAATATTGTTACACAATAATGATTTTTTTCCAATAATCAGGATGTCCAAGGATTCAATTTCAAGTGCAGGAGTATCTTATTTTATAAATTTAAAAACAAATCCACTATTGTAAATTTTGGAGATGACGTCATCCCATTGATGGTGGGGATGAATAGCCAAAATTTGGTAAGCGTTTTACCATCTACACAACAATCCTAACATGCACACAAAATTTGACAATAATCAGTTCGCTAGTTTCGGAGATCATCTGTGTAATAAAAATCGACGCAAACAGACAGATGGAAACGGAAGACCACCTTTATCGTACTCTTAGCTTACGCTCAGGAACTAAAAACGAGTGTAAATTCATCGATGCAAAGCGAATGAAGCGTTTAAGCCGTTATTTTATTAATATCTATTGTTTATTTAATACCTATGTATTATTTAAAATTGCTAGATCGAAACTTTCAATTGACTCAGACTCTATAATTAACCGACCAGTTACTATCAAAGTTGGGTAGAAATCACAAAGTTTTGTTAGTTCAAACAGCTTCATTCTTCGTCCTTTTCTGTTCCTAAATATAGACGCGTTTGAAAACTCTATAAACATGAGAATTTAGAACCAAAAAATCACAATAGTCAGTTTCGATTTCTCTCAAAATTCCTTAATTGGATTTCGCCCCATTATTTAAACATAAAAGTCAAAGCTCCACCGTTAATCTCCGATATTCCACGACTTACTTCAAAATTTGTTACTTGAGTGATATCACTTCATTCTATTTATTCAAATGTGCAATTTAAATTCAACAGTGCAGTTTTAATGTCGAAGCTTTAAGATTAACGCTAAAGTTTCACGACTAATGTGCTGGATTTCAAATTAATTAAGAAACCCGGACTTTTTTACTGCGCTTTCGAAAACAGAGCTTTACGAATTATGGCTAACACGAGGTCAACGCAATTTAACATACAAAACATTACGTATTACTAATCCACATTCACTAATTTGCATAATATTAACCCTGTTTGTGTATTTGCAAAATTCATGTGCTTTTAGTGTTGTAGACTGTGCAAACAGAGTGCGATCGAAGGCTTTTGTTTTAAAATTCTGGGTTGCAGGTGTTTTAAATATAGTACCGATAATAATTTGCAAGCTTTGTGACATTTTGCTCTGTACGACTGTGATTTTTGAATAAAATTTTTGTGGAAATCCTGGATTTTAAACCATTCAGAAGCGACGACTTGCTTTAAAATGGAAATATGAACGTAATAAAACGAACAATTAATCAATTAAATGTAATTGTTTTAATTGACAAAACATCGTCAGTAAACAGTAAACCAAAAGGAGTGACATTTAATCATGAATCAAAACATTGCGTTCATGTTTGTTAAGGGTTTGTAAAGTCTGTTTGCATTTTATTGTTTGCCATTATTATTATTTTTTGTCTTTCACTCTTCACAACAACGGTTTTTAACAATAGTAATGACAACGATATCGTTAATAAATATTAAAAATACAAATGGACCTAAGTTTTAACTTATTGGACATTGGACTTGATGCTGATTTGCTACATTTATTGTTATTTAGAAATAATATTATGACGTTGCAACATTTCCGACTTCTGTCATTAAAACTTAAAAACAGTACCGAAAATTATCAACTATTGCAGATCGGCTGGGGACTTTTCAGTGTGTCGATTTGGCAACAGGAAAAAATTCGCCACTGCGCCAGCGCTGATATGTCAGCAGCGTTAAAATTCGGCGAAGGAGCGCTTTTTCCAGCAGGGTTGAAATTCAGGCCGGCAACAGTAGCGCGCTGGAGCCTTCCACCTCAGAATCAGAACGTTTTCGATCGTCTGGTACATGGTGTAATTAAATTCAGGAGGAAAACGTGAATAATTAAGGCGCCTGGAAAAAACCTCTTCTCAAAAGGTCTTAGCCGGTAAGAATGTCGGATAATGGTTTAAAATTTAATACACGGTAGTGAGCCGTTTGTTCAGGGGCGTACGTGTGACGGCTTAGCGGAGTCCCAAGGGGTAAACCGGAAATTGTGCGAGTTATTATGCGAAGCGGTTTACGCCCCCTCGCAGCGAAGGGTGAAACACGGCTATTGTTATATTGTCAGCACGCCATGACAGCAGATAGAAACGTCAGACACGGAATTCTGCATGTGTATTTTCGGTATCAATCGGCAGCTTTATAAAATTTAGATATGAAAAAATTTTTCGGTTTCTGCCCGACTTTATATTTTATTCATTCTCGCAGAAATGTCATTCCATTTTTATGGCGCCGTAAAGATGGCCAATTCGCTTTCTTGTTATCAATCGTTATTTTTGTCTAAACGTGACTTAAATACGAATCCGAAGGCAAAGGGTGGAATTATGTGAGCAGGAAAAGAACTAGAGTGCGGAGTAATCTCTCGGCTGTAGACAGTGACGGTTCCAATTTATAGAAAGCCGATGCATCATTCTTTTGCCACTTTATTTATCTTTAGATTTTCTCGTCAACTTCTTTTTAATTTCGACGCTCTAAAGTCGGAACGTGAATGCAAATATCGCACGGCGGACGAAAGAATAACCAGCGGCGTGTCAAAGCTCTAAAAGCACTAAACTCTTTACCGCTTGCGTAAAATTAAGCGAAGTACACACAACTTTTAAGACCGATGTTTAATGACAGCGCAAGGTTCGCAAAATAACTCAAATACACAGCGTATTACATCGGCACCATTACACGTGACGATAAAAATATACGAAAAAATACTGGAAGAGACATAAAAAGTGTTGAAAAAATAAACTGAATGACGTACAAACCGGTTTTAGAAACCAACCTACACTCGCAGGTGGGATCACAATTTTGTACTTATGTAAATATAAAGAAGTTGGTTTACTTAATATAAAGTAGAATAGGTTCCACCTTAAGCAAACATATACAGAAATCCGAAATGTATAATAACGCCTGCATTTTTTTTTATTTACGACTAATACCACAGGACAAACAGGAAATAATCTCAAGAAAAAACTTCACTATTTCGAGTGGAAAATGTTTGTAAAGGAGTAAAGACTGGCAATACATCCACATTAAAAGGAATCTGGCTATATTATACATATATTTCGTTCTAAACGTGACTTAAATACGAATCTGGAGGCAAAGCCTGGAACCAGGGTGAGGAGTAATTTCTTGGCTGTGAGGTTCCAATTTATAGAAAGCCGATGCATCATTCTCTCGCCACTTTATTTATCTTTAGATTTTCTCGTCAACTTGTTTTTAATTTCGCCGCTTTAAAGTTCGCGAAGGCGGAATGGGAATGGAAATTTCATCCGGGTGACGAAAAGAAAACCGCGAACGTGTCAAAGCAATAAAAACACTAAACTCTTTAGCGTTTCCGTAAAATTAAGCAAAGTATTCGTTACAAACTTAGTAAAATCAGTTTTTCAAATAAAATTAAAACCCTTCAGAAGTTCCAAAGTGTTTGAAACATTTCCCGGCGCTCATTAACATTTAGCCGGGTCCTATAATTGAATAAAAATGCCCTAATCAGAACAGACGCTCTTATAATCGTCGACGAAATCTCTAATTGAAAACATTATCACCTGTACAATCTCGGCAGGATCCCAACAAATCTATTTAAATTAAACCGAATTCATTCGAACATGTCCCGCTTAATTTCCAAATGGAGCGAAATTGGCGTCAAAAGCGAGAAGAAGAGCTTCCGTCGCATTTCCCTCAAGCTTCATAACAAAGCTTTCAGAAAAAGTAACAAACATCCTGCGTTGTTGAAAACGCGGAGGTTCGAATAAAAAAACCTTATAGAACGCGGAAACAACGCCAGCGTTAGTTGTGTAATGCTCTCAAATCGGTTTGCAACAGGGAATACCTCAAAGAATGTTCGATAACAAAGAGCACATGCATGCATCTGAAACGTTTCAAAACCTCATGTCTGATAGATTCATGGCTCATTGTGTGCAGGTATTCTCGTCTGGTAATGATGGAAATGTCAACGACTAGACCACTACCCTCTCGTATCGACGTTCCAGCAAATAACGCCGCCAAACTTGATATTTTCATGGAAGCTTTTCTAACTTACCTAAATAATTGCTTTATTTCAAAGCATTTCAGGCGAGCGGTGCAGAATCGTGGATGCAATTATGTTATCTGGAACAAAGACACTGCAATTAATTTTAATAACCGTAATGTCGTTGGAAATCAAACCAAAACTTTAAATGTCGTTTGTAATTAGGGCGCATCTCGGGTTTCATAAGAAATTGCGTCGCCACAAGGCTCCAAGATTTTTGACGCGATATACTTCCGGTTCTGAAATAGTGAATGAAAACTGACTATATCAATCGTGATGGGTTTATCCCCTATACTAGACAGTGTTATGAAAGCTTCAACGTACTAAAAGGAACTGCGCGCTTGAATGGAGTAATAAAACCCGAACCCAATACAAGTAGACATTTTGTACATAATTTGTTAGCAAATTAGAAAATTCATAGCAATAACTTTGCTTATTTTCTTATTTGTATGTAAATTTTAAACACTTGCTAGGGATATTAACTTCATAACACTCAGTCTTAAAATACAATATAGCGCCAGTTATGGTCTTAAGTTAAGAATCTGTTGAGTCATAAAAAAATAATGGTGAAAGTCGTAACAATTTTAGAATAATTGTGACAAATTAATAGCATTACGGTGCATTACACAAGAGGCTGAACGAATTATCGGGAAGATCTGTGTTATCCACGTGTTGTCCAAGGCAAAGAAAGAATTAAAAGATTATATTTGCTGAAAGTTCAATTCCATATTGATTTCACATTAATGCTTACTTTGAGGTGTATCATTAAACGACCTAATGCGATTCGGTATATTTTAAAACCCTGAATAACAAAACAAGGAACAATTTAATGTTTCGAAAAATGTACTATACAGATTTTTATTCAATAGAGGAATTTTTGCAGTTTAAAAAAGTACATATCTTGAGTCTGACATTTATCTGATTTTCCAGTATTAAAAAGGACGTCGTAAATGTACATTCAGGTCGATCATAATACATAACAAAAGTTCTAAAAATAAATAAAAAAAAGAATAAAGATATAGTTGTCGTTAAGTGGATTAAACGACGTCATGAAGTATTTTATTCCCGTTTTATAAAGTCGAACATCGTATTTATAGCGCTGACCTAATGATAAATTGAGTCATATTAATGGAGGTATGGCAACTGTTCACCAAGCTGAAAGTCGAGGTGAATAATATGCCGAGATCCAAACGAGTTTCACCAAATTTATTTTGCTGTAAAACAGATACAAAAGTTATGACGTTATTTTATGGTAATGTGATTCACTTTATCACGATACTATTATTTAAAGTAACAATTTTGATTTTTTTTTCAAAATCTGAATATCTAGGGTAAAAAATCAAGTCGGATTCATAAACCAAAAGTGCAGAAATATGTTGTTCTATAAAATTTAAGTAACAGTTACTATGCACAATTTTGAAGTGATCTTTTCAGGTTATTGGTGGAGATGATTAGAGAAATTTTGGTTGGTTTTTAGTGTTTCAACATCCACACGTTAATATATATTTTAGGGATTTATTTTATTTTGTCAGTAGAAAAAAATCGAAACTCTTCTAAAATATTCATAAAATACCAATCTTTTTTTTTTATTTCTGTTTGACGAAAGTCTAAGAACATCTGAACATCTATTTAGGTTTGTGTGGTATTTTTCTAAATAAATGTATCTGAAAATCTGTTTGTTACAGTTGATATTAGCCAGTTTGATTTGCCAAAAGTTTAACTAGGTATACGTCGACTGAGCATACAGTACTTCATACCTGATATTGCCAAGTAAAGAAGGGGGCAATAATTTCACAAAATATTCCTAATTCATTCATAACTAGACACTGAAAACGCCCTGTGGTAGTAAATTTTGTGAAAAATGCCCAAAGTGATAACAACTTTAATAAATTCATGGTTAAAAAATTATCCCCGAACTTATTTCAACTGACGAAAATGTTTTTTTACAAAGCATTTTTTTTACTTATTTTGCATATTTTTAAAAGGACAGTTTTATCTTGTTTTTCTTTTGAAATAATAAATTTTTAGGTTTATTTTTTACATAATACGTGAGCGCAAGTTCCAAATATCACAACATGTTTCAACAGAGCTTCATAAAAGGAAATGTCAAAATCTCAACGAATCAAAACTGTTGCAAATTTCCGTGAAACAATCCCTTACCGGAAATTTAAGGTAAAATGAACACCAAGTTTTTAATTCAGATTTATGTAACGCGATGCTTGGTTTCAAAACCTTTTTAGAAAAATATTGTAAAAATGTTATATCGGATGAAAGCATGATCAGAAAAAAATATGTACCAGATATTTACAATGAAACTATTTCTAGTATTAAAGAAATAGCAAAAAAACAATTTATATATCTTGCAGTGGAGGAAATTTCTGATGTTTGTGGGCGTTATACTGTCAATCTTCTGGTAGGTTCAATTTCTAGATTTAGCAACTTTTCGAGTTTTCAATTTTTAATTTTTCCATTTGCAATTTTTCGTTTCAGTTTCTCATTTTCTTTATTTTTACAATTTTCCAAAATTTTCAATGTTCCAATTTTAAATTTTTTTGTTTTTTCAATTTCACTTTTTTCAATTTTTCGTTTCGTCGGTTTTTCAATTTGCAATTTTTCAATTTTTCGTTTTTTTTTCTTTAATTTTACAATATCTCTTCGGGTTTTCATTTTTAAATTTTCCAGTTTTCCGATTTTCCAACTTTTGGACAATTTTTAGATTTTGAAGTTTTTCGATTTGAAATTTCACGAGTTTTCAATTTTTAATTTTGCAATTTTTAGATTTTCGGTTTTTCATTTCTTTAGTTTTTCGAGAAAAACGAGAAAGTACAAGTTATTCTACGTCACTTACTTAAGCCCCACCCACCCGCCTCGATCTCAATTGTGACGACTTTTTCAGAGGGGCGGAGTTTAATTGTAACATCAATATTTCTGTCGAAAATTCTACCCTTTTAAAAACATTTCATATGGTAATTTTTTGTAGAGAAATGAGGATTTTGCAAGTAAACTCCGCCTTTCAGCTCACAATGAATAAAGCATTCATCACAATTGACAAGGGGTGGGTGGGTGGGGCTTACATTTTGTCCATTTATTCTTAACATACGAAGTCTTCTTTTCCCAACAAGAAACTGGAAACATGTTTAACTTTCCTGTTGTTGAAAGAAAACTCTATATATATTTCTTCGTACTCTAGAGGTCATGAAAGGTCGAGAAAACGTAAAAGTAGAGGGTCGGCTGACGGACTCGATTACAATACTTCCTTCATTTACGCTCGGGAAGTAAAAACAGTCATTGAAAGTATCATCAAGTGAAAGAGGTAATTGATAAAAATGCTGGTTACAAGCTCCTAGAAAACATCTGTTTAATTTTAAATTGCGAATCACTAGATATTAATGTAGAAATACATTTGTTGATGTACAAACAAGTTTTTGTTCATACAAAATGTTACTGACAGATAGAAGATTTTACAACGAAAATTTGGAAAAACATTCGGTTGTTAATTGTAACTCAAAAAAAAGTGTAGTTTACAGGGTGTTTATGCTTTATGTGAAAATATGTTATAGGTAAAAATTTTATCATTGACATTTGTCGTATTAAATTCGCTCTTTATCCATTAAGCCAAGTTTCACTGATCTTTTCTATATCTTTTATAACTAAGTACATATATCTTTGTCTTTATTTCCCATTGCAATTTTTTTGTGATCCTGGAGTTTAGTGTTCCATTTAGTGCGTGCCCTGTGATTCTACAAACTTCTTTCGCTCTCAGTTCTCGCATTTACTTTCTTTAGATTTCCGGATTCACTCTTTCGCCTATTCCTCGGCTATGATCCACCGCTTTGGTTTTCTTGTGTCTTACATTTTTTATTGGCGCAGCCTCACCATTGCCAAAAGCATATTCTATATATTTATGTTCTTTTACTTTTTCTTTTCTTCTTTCTCCCCACATCAATTCCCTGCAATTCGCCCCTGCTTTGGTCGATATTTTTCATCTCGTACACCTTTTCCGGTTGCCGACAATTCCTTTCATTCCTTTTCGCTTCATTGCTACCATATTATTGGCAAAGGTCAGTGATCCTAAACCCCACAACATCAAAATTTCCTTCTCCCAAAGAAGTCAATAAGTGGCAATGTAATTTCAGATCACCAGAACAAAAGTTTTTACATTCCTTATGACGTGTCTCGCTGCATCCCTTTTAACGGAGACGTTCCTTGGGCCATTTGTGACGGAGTATTCCTGCTTTATGCGGCCGCACATCCAAGTTCTGGATGACGGGATCTTCGAAATGAAACTTTCGAGGGAAACTGCACTAAACTGTTTCAAGCGCAAATATGTCAGACATAAAATTTAGTGTCTGTGCTGTAAAATATGTCGGCATTATGAATAAACGCTCTGTTGATAACGACAAAGTGCACACAAAAGAACGTAAGTTGCCATTGAAATTTGAAAATCAATATAACACGGCTGATATACAACAAAAGTACCGGGTGATAAAAAGGAAGGCGACGTGTAGGGTGGATACTTAAATTTTTTTCGAGAAATTGCTGGCAATAAAGAATGAACGAAGAGTCCCTGAAAGAAAATAGCGGGAAATCTACTTTGACTTTGGTTAGTAAATATTCACTATAAATTGAATAAAAATGAACGGTCTGTCCTATCGGCCGCGCTAATGGGATTCCTTATTCGAGCGTTCTCTATTGATTTCTGCCTTGATAAATAAGTAAACCGGTTTTTGTACAATGTATCTGAATGTTTTCATTTACGGGCCGGCTTCGTCTTAATTAGTTATATCCAATCGAATTTGACATGGGAAACATGGGACGTTCCACAGACAGCACTGAGACGGTATCAATTATTTCGTATTGTAATAATAATTTCATTTCCAGACACCTTACACGGACAGCCTCGACCAGACCACCGTCACGGATCTGTGAAGCTAAACCTAAACGAAACACTCCCTACCCACTACTTTTGATGTTTTTCTACACGTATAAACGCTGTTTCATTTAAGCCAAGCTGCCATTTCGTCATAGGATCAAACGAATAAAATGAAACAAGAATGACGTCCAAAATTGGTTATATTTC